CGCATTTGCTGAGCATGTTACTCAAGAGACTGAAACTAAAATTGCGGGACAATGTGAACAGGAAAACACACAAAGAAGAAAAGTAATGATAGAAATAGGACCTGAAAGACACTTACAGTTGCAAAGTTTTCCTTGATAGTCCTGGAAAGCAACTTTCTGAAGGAACAGTAAATTTTCCTATGGTTTTAAGTGAATGAATGTATGCTGTGGTTGAAGCAGCTAGGAAGAGAGAGGTTGATCGAGAGAGATAAATCTAAAGCACATTGGATTCAAACATGACGTAAAAACGACTGCCGAGTTTTCGATTTTAGTCGACTACAACTGAAGAAAGACGAGTTTGTCGTAATGATTGTATGTAATGTTTGTTGCATTGTACGTATTTCACGAAACCAGTCTAGAGATGATATTTTGCATACTAAACTTTCATTGACGATTAAAACTCTATTAATCACCAAAAACATGAAGAAGAACAGATCTCAATGAAACCACAGCTTCAAATACGAGGTGGTTATGAACATTTGTTTTAATAGTTCAAAATAGTGTATCTAGTTCTTTCATAGTGTTCGAAAGATGACAACCATTCGATTATAAACGTTTTAGCATTGTCTGAAGTTATGTGGTAAGTCATCAAAAACTTACTAACCGAAATAAGATAACACTTTAATACACTAAATAATCTCATATTTTCATGATTTTGGGTGCAGGGAAGTTCATTTCACTGTAAATAATAAGTGAAACATTTATTTCAGTTTTGCTTTAGAAAATATATGCAAGGTGTCGTCCAAATACAAAGGCCAGTCACAAGTGAATATTCAAACATACTGATCTACCATCGTGTGTTGTTCGAAATCAGTGCGTGATAAGGACTTCAAAACAATCACGTGACTTTTTTTGAATTCACGTTTCTAAAGTGTGTAATCACATTTTGCCGTCAATATGAGAACTAACAATTTTAGCCTTTTCATTGGCATAAGAGCTTTCACTTTTAAACTGAATTAAGCCATATACCGTCTGTTTCTAAATACTAACTAGGTACAGGTAAGAAAAGAAATATGACTAATTGCTGGGAGGGACTCTAAAATATTTTTACAACATAAATTTAAATGAGTCTTCCTTCCACAGAAGATGATCTACCATAAGAACTTTGATTCTAATTAGCTGTTTTGAATGCTGGAAGGATCATAAGTTCACTTGACAAATGGTATTTAGCGTGTCTAGAGAAGTGGGACATCAGACTTTCTCATATTTACAGATAGTAAAAACAAACAATAAACTGCTTGAACCTAAATTTTATAGTTGGCTTTATTTTCAAATCGGTTTTAGAATGAATTCAAAATTTTATTCATTTTATAAGAGTTAGAAGTGGCCAAAATGCTGGTGCTTAAGATGTTTGAGTACGTTTTAGTGTCACACCCAATATCTCATACAGCACATAGGCTATTATAAATCTAGTCCCTATACGCCATCAGCCTGAAGACATGTATCAATCGCATCCGTTCCTAAGTGCGACTAAATTTATGTTTATGGGTTATTTTTTGAAGGACATGAATAAAATTCATATGGATCTTAATGTGCCATAAGAAAAATATGTTTCCTGTTGCTTAAAAAATGAAGGAAAAATTGCATTCAGGATTAAAGGCATGTGAAGAAGATTTGATGTCTTGAACGGAAATCAATCCAGACGGGTTTTATATTTTCCTCATGTGCAAAGATGACAACTAAGTTTTCTGTACGATCATTAAAGGTGTAGATTAGGCTAGCCTACCTTTGTCAGCTGCAGCTCCTCCAAGTTTTCTGGTGATAAGTGACGGTGAGAGTTGTTTGTACTAGTATCTGTCCTGCACCCATATGTCCTTTCATTTCGTAATATATCGGAAACCAATAAGGAGCGTGGATGAATAAGCACAACATGTCCCAGGTCTCTCGAACGAGGGACATTCAAGCTTATCACTTGAACAAACTCTTAACATGCAAGGGAAAATCGATATTTTTTTCACTTAAAAGGTTGCGAAACCTAATGCTAAATGTGGTTTATCTTTGAATGTCGAATATTTATAGAGGTTGCAAAATAACTCTATGAGTTAGTATATAGTATCAGTTATAGCTAAAAATCTATTTTTAATGTGTTTTATACCGTACCATGTTAATTTATAGTGTTTTGCCTCTTGTAAAACTAACGTCTAAGCAGTACAGGTCAACAATACTTGAAATCTCACTAGGAATTTTGACTTTTTTATTCACAAACATGCAAAGGCTACTATTCGTTGTTTTAGGTTTGTCTTATTACAACTTCGTGACCAGTATTTGTCTTTAAATTGTGTATATCTTGTTTTTGAACGTCATGGTGATCAACTTTTAGGTTTGTTGTTTTAATCAGGGAAGCAGAAGCAGGTTTAATAAAAGGTTTTGTTTTCAAGAGGCTTAACATGTTCAATTACATACTTGGCAGTATTTCTGAGGATGGAAGAATGTAACTCAATTTTGAAGTATTTTTAGTTAGTTTCTACGGACTATTTAAGAGGTGACTTGAAATTGCATGAACGTAATATTCCACTCCATGTCTTAAATAATGGATTATTCTACGTTTGAAACCAATTCTTGCTAGTTGTAGTAACGTAAATCAACAATACACTACAGATAGCTCTCAAATAATCTGTTTATCTAATAAGAACCAAAATGTTCATTTTTCTTTCAGTGATACATTCAAACCGCTCTCCACAATGTATTTGAATACAGAAAAATATGCTTCGTATCTTTCTTAAGTGAAATGAAATAAAGTTAGATATTTATTTTGAAATAAAAGCTAGTGAATAGTAACTATAATTCTGTCGAAAAATGAATTTTAGGGCTGATACATATCTATTTACCGTTCGTATTTATAAATGCAAAGAAATTTCATTGAGTATAGTCATGTTAACCACCACACTAGTGAACACTATTAGTAAGGCGTCCAGCAGTAACAGTTCTTTCAATTATTCTATAAGGTAATAAATAATATACTTGGTATCTGGAAATTATTAAATACCTAACACTCAAACTATTAAAATTGTTCAGCACTTTCAAGCATTGAGTTTTCGCAACAGTTTAAATAATTTCGGACATGCTTTTATTGTTATCTTTTGTAAAATCTTTCAGCATTAATAAATGGTTAGAGTTTGTTTCGTCACAATGTCATCACCAACCTACTACGAATTCAAACCTTTCTTTTTAGACATTTCTTCTATTACATATAGGAAAAGTTTGTTAGTTTTATTGCAAATAGCTTTAACAACCACGAGTTGATTTGTCATTCCTCAAACTCAAACATACATATCTATTTACCGACTGATCTGACCAGTACTAATTTGTTTTTGATTACATTATATTCTGTAAGCCGAATGGTTTAGCTAGGAAGCTTTAAACTTGTTCTCGACCATATCATCACTATGTTATCCAATTAAGAGTGAGCTTTTTAAAACTATTCTATATTTACTGATTCGGTCTATTTTGAGTACCTTACTCACAAGTAACTGCTTCCGGCAATCCTATCATCATTGTTGCATTTAGATTCACACAGGTTATTTTCTACCGTTAAACTTTGACTGTGTAATAACAATCCATATAGAAAAATAGAGGCACAATTTATTTGGGAAGGTGTGATAGCATTTTTTTTCGAGTACATTAATAACATAGTGATTAGCTGACAGAAGGGGCTCAAAACATATATATATATATATTCTTTTATGTTAAAGCTTAGTCTGTCGATGTTAAAATGAGTTTATAAATTAGTATACAGTCAGAGTAATTCGTTTCTTTAAAAGAACTGGCCGGGTAAGTAGAAGGATAGTCAGCCAGTTCTCTCCAAGGTGGAATCTTGCGCATGAATGTATTTGTTTAAGTCGTTACATTATATCATCAAAAAAAAGATGAAATGATTAGGGTATACTGTTAAGATATTCATCCAATATCCTAAGATAATTGTTTGTAAGTCTAGTTCTATTGGTTCATTCCTACTGGTCAGTATTATGGTCGTCCTAATTGTCAAGGTCACAGACTTCACTGTTGTTTCCTATTAGACCTAACTGTATAAATATGCATTATCTGTAACGTTCTATGAGCCGGACCCGGATCCTCAGTCCGGGATCCTGATTCTCTTCTGAACTCGGACCTCGTACTTTCTGGATGCTTGTAGAATACATGTGCTACTTCATGTCAAGTGTTCTTCATTCACCCAATGGGGCTTGAGACACTTGGATTAGATTAGCTCGTCGTGTCGCCGGATCTTCGATCCTCACTCTCGTTTTCCGACTAAGGTAAACTCGTAATAGTTCAAGCATACCAAATGACATGTTTACATGCATGCGTAACAATAACTTACTTACTTAACTACTGATGTCTTTTACCTCTAATAGAGCATAGGCCGCCTACTAGCATTCTACAACCTACTCTATCCTAGACATTGCTTTCCAATTCTGTCCAATTTTTATTCAATCTTCACATGTCCATCATTATTTCCCAGCGTAATGTGCTGTATGGTCTTCCTCTTTTCCATCGTCTTTGAGAGTTCCTAAATGAGGGCTTGTCTTGTGACACAAATGGGTGCTTTCTGCAATGTGTATCTTATCCTTTCCAAGTGTTTCTTCGTACTCCACTGGAAGTTAGTTTGTTCTATCCCTCAGTACGTTGTTGCTGATAGTGTCTGACCAACAGATCCATAGTATTTTGCGTAAATATCTGTTAATTATTACTAGTACCGAAAAAACACACAAACTAACTAACTAACTAACTTGTATTATATTGAATTGTAAATAAATTAGTTAGTTATACTAGGTATTCAATTCGTCAATTTTTTAATGATTCAAACTGATGATGATGATGATGTACACATTTGTAAGTAATAAAAACCATAACTCATAAATATAATAAAAAGTTGACTGTTCCAAAAACGGTGTTTTCATTTTCAAATTATTTGTTATAGATTCCATTGATCTGAGAGAGAAATTAAAAAGCTCATCAACATCATGCAATCAGATGGTTCAAAAGAAAAGCTTCTACCCAATACTCATCATCATAACCATAATCACAATACTAATCAATATCCTACTGTACTACTTACAAACAGACAATCTCCATCTAAACTCAATTCATACTCTTCACATAAACCAGTCATGATAAACGATAAACCAAATCGAATTAATCATTCTGAACATAGTAATGATAGTACAAAAGATTTATTATCTCCTGGTGATTTAGTAAAAGATCGATGGCGTATTGTATGTAAGTTAGGAGGTGGTGGTTTCGGTGAAATCTATGAAGCGATCGATACAAAATTAGAACGTATTCAACATTCTTCCTCGTCCACCACCTCGTCAACATCCTCTTCATCACATGGCAATGAGTTGTTACAGTTGAATTTAAAACGTCACAATTACACTGAATACTCGTTATGTTTAAATTGTGCAACTAACAGTACTCTGAACATGCCAGTACATTCATTGCCAACTGGTCAAAATGGTTCACAGGTTATAAAATTAAAACAACAAGATATTGGTTCAGATAGTGGTATAGCTGGTGTACAAGCGTGTTCATTAGATACGCCATTTCAAAATGGCGCGAGAATTCATTCTGCTGGTACAACGACGTCCGCCTCACTGTCATCACGTCATTTCATGCATACATCTAATGAATATAAGCCCAATAGAAATAATAATCATCATCATCATCAGCAAGAAGATCGTTTATTACAAAAAATCAACACACAAGATTTCACTGTGAGTAATGCATCGACTCCAAGAGATAATTTTGACAAAAAAAGTATCGTTTGTATGAATTGTAAATGTGAATTACCATCACAAGGATGCAATGACAAATATCCAATGAATTGCGGCAAATATGAATCAAATGGTGTATCATCAACAACTGATTCAGAAATGTCTAGTTTAAATAATGATTTTTATGATTATCGTGTAGCTATTAAAGCTGAATCAGTACGTCGTGCTAAACAAGTGCTAAGAATGGAAGTATCAGTGTTACGTCGTCTACAAGGTAAATCAAATATATGCCGTTTATTTGGTTGTGGAAAGAATGCTAAATTCAATTATATGGTTATGACATTACAGGTAAGTAAAAGCAACAAGTTTGCAAAGTTATCTTGCTAAGGAATTTTTTTTAAATTATCGTGTGGATCTTATCTGAGTGACCATGAAAAGACCTGAGAGCACTGGATGACTATTTTGTCTTCGTGTGGAACTCATTTAGCAGCGCGTATTCATTAATCGAACCTTAGATTTTCAAACTTGTATACGAGAGCTTGAAAAACACTAGACCACTCAGCTAACATGAAACCCTAATAATATGAGTGACTGATTTCAATCCATTCACGATACTGTACAATCCTCAGCCGCATTACCTAAGGGATTCTAAATGTATCTCATACCTGAGAGTGGACTGAACTCCACTGATCACGGTTGTCTATTGCTTTCAATATTTCAATGGTGGTTTAGAGCTAACATTAGTTAGCGATTCAAACTGTGAAAATTTTACAATTTCTAAAAATCTGTCAGTCAATAAATGAATCAATGACGCGATCAATTTATTCCCGTTATTGACCTCTAAATGTATGCTATTTTACTGTGTTGTTATAAAGTACAGTGTCTTTTTTTTCTGTGTGTGTGAGCTACATGAAATGTGTTTCTAGCTGATATTTATTTATTGATAGATACTATTGACCATTTCTCACTCAAAAATTTCATCAATACTGATTTTCATTTGAGTACAATTGATCTACTGTCAAATGCACTCAATAGATCACAATAAATTGAATTATATAAACCTTTTCTTTTTGAAACCATGAATCGATCAATGTTAGACCACCATTAAAAACCTGGAAGAAGCACTGAAGGACAGCCCTTTCGTCCTGGTATGGGACTCATCAGCAGTGCGCATCCACGACTCCTGCACCCTGCAGGATTCGAACCCAGGACATTCGGCATTGTAGGAGAACGCCTTACCATCGGACCACTGAGCCGGTATCTAACAGTGTTAATGTCTAACTTGATCAATTCACGGAGTTGCGCAACCTCATACACAGTCTTCGGTAGTTACTGTCTAAACCCGAATAGGTTGAACTTCACTGGTCACGTCTTCCCACTAGAACTCGGAGAAGATTCCTCACGAAGCTAGTCACTAGTGAGCACAGGTAATTTGCATTACGCGGTTGTGAAGATTGTTAAGTTTTTTTGAAACCATGACTCACAAAATCGAGTGACAAGAAACAATAGAATAGATTACACAATTTTATGCACTGCTCAATAGTCAACTGATGTTAGTACCGCAATTGCTTCAACAAGTCCTAGTAGTTCGGAAGTACAGTTTCTGGCTAAAAAACGCGTAACGTAGGTTTAAATCTCATGAAGGATTTCAATTTTGCAAGATTGAAGTGTTACATTTTGCTGGAAATTTAAGAAATAACAAGTAAAGATCGGTAAAGTTCTTCTGACGACCTTCTATGCACCTAAAATTCTCAATTTTCAAAATGTCAACAAGATGAAAACAGAAAACCGAATTCTCCATTTAGAAAAACAAATGTCTATATTGAAAACTGTGACCTCGTTGTTCGTATCTAGTTGTTTCGAGTCCCAGATGTCTTACAAATGAAGAAATGCTGCCCTTGCTTTGCCGATACGCCACCGCATATCTACATCAGGCCCACTTTTCTCATCAGTAGCTCTTCCCAGATATGTAAAGGTTTCTAAATCCTCCAAAGCTTCTCCGTTAAGTGTAACTTTGCTGAGAATCTTGCATTTTGGCTTGTGTATGTTTTGAACTTACGGTTACAGAGGCCGCTGCCACACTGGCCGTCTTATCCTGTTTTTATTGTTGCCTGTCGAATAGTAGAGCCAGATCGCCTGCGAAGTTTAGATCATACAGCTGCATCCTATCTGCCACTATATCCCATGCTTCCCCAGAGAGGTAGACATCTTCATAAACCAGTCGACCACCAGGAGAAAGGGAAGTGATGAGATTAGGCAACCTTACCCGACACCGGTCTTGTAGTATAGTTTATTGTGTTCTGAAATATGCAAAATTCAGGAAGTAAGTCAGTATTACAACAATCCATTTCAATTTCTTCACGATGTGCTGGATGAAGATATTTTTTCATTAAATACGACAAAACTCTCATGATCCCCCATTGTGATATTTTTCTCGTTGATTCTGATTACCAACACATGTGGTTTTTTCGTTCAATGGGTTCAATAAATAAATTTAAAGTATTTCTAAAACAAATATTATGAGCCAAATGTTTAAGTGTTGGAAATTTTCAGGTGTTACTATCATGATGCTTCCTGTTTATCACTTAAAAGTATGTATGATATTATGAATGATTTCAAAATATGATTTTGCATCAAACGGTTGTAGAGAATGTTGCGTTACTTTATTTCAATTATGAATCGATCGATATTAATGAGTCGTTGTCGTGACTAGTGTAGTTCAACTCTGTTCAGGTGTGAAGCAATACTCACCGAAGACAGTGGATGAGGTTGCGCAAAACCCCTAGACTGGTTGAAGTTAGACATAGACCCAGAGGTTAGGCGCTCATGCGCAACATCCAAAGTCCTAGGTTCGTATCCCGCCGGTTGCATAAGTCTTGGATGTTGATAAATCTCATGTCAGGCTGACATGATCGTTCAGTACATCCAGGTTTCTATAATAGCGGTCTCACATTGATCAATTCATGATTTCAGTATAATATTGTTCAATCTATTTTTTTCTCATAGGAATCAAAAATTAAAAATATAAAGCAAATATATACAGTTTGAATAAATTGAATATCAATTGAAACATTGAACAGATATATATTTAATTTGATTATCTCTTTTTAAAAAAAATAAAGAACACAATGCTAATCTCGTGACTATATTGCATGTTTTATTTAATTTCTTAAGATAATAACAATAAAACAATAAAATGGATGATGAGAGAGAGAGAGAGATTGTAAATGATTTTTTTGTTTTAAATAATCACAGTTTCAAAGTTCAAGGTTAATAATGTCTGTGTATACATGTTGTACTTAATTGTACATTTTGTGGAATTCCTTGTTTTTTTTTCATTTATTTTGTGAATTTTCTCACAATGAAGATGTATAAATACAATTTCTGTTTAAGTTTTAATTAGTCAAGAACTTCAGTTTCCGTTAAGACTGTGATGTCTACCGGTAAAATGCAGGATACATGTATTTATCCTGGGTTCGAACTTGTTAGTTGCACATACCCTCATTGAGAGTTCATTTCAACAACTTTCAATACAAAGCTTAAACGTATTGTCTTTGCTGGAGTGCAAGTGAAGAACGACGTGACATTTCAGCCCTGAATATGAACGATAGCATATAACTCAGATTAGAGCAATGTTTTAGGTCAAAATACTTAACTAAATGTATATAGGCTTCATTTGAGTTAAGTTTAGATTTTCGACAGAAATTTATAAATTCAAAGAATATTGTTTATGACTCACTTTTAAGCTTGAAAATATATGCTATACCCTTTGCACATTGTGTTGGGGATGTTAGATCCTCCAGAACTCACTTGATAAATGCCTTATTTTGGATTTCCCGTTTGCTAGCATGAGCTGATCAGTTGATCTGGAGATTTCATTTCCCACCAGGAAAATCCATGGCTGTGATTGGCTGCTGTGTTATTTTAGTGTGCTATTTTTTGTAACTGCCCCAAGGACGTTTCTATGATGTATAAATAAACGAGAGTTGTGTGCTTGATTGTGTTGTGTGATTGTTGGGTGTTTGTAGAGTATACTTTCTACGCTTACCAAGACTTCTGTTTTGCAGTTTTGGCATTCAAGGTAGCCTAATGGACGCTGATTAATTGTCTCGTTCGCGTTTATCGACTAAGGTGAACTCGTAATAGCATTCAAACATACCATGTGACGAACATAACACATTGATAACACATTTTGTCAAAAAATCCTTTCATCATAACGATTAATTATGATTTCATCACGTAGATTATCAAGTTCTTTCAAAAAAATAAATACTTCATATTCTCTTAATATATATGTAGGTAAAATAATTTTTAAAGCCTACTTACTTAATTGCCATAATATTTTGTGTTACATTTTAGGGAAAAAATCTTTCTGAACTACGTCGAACTTTACCCGGAGCAATTTTTACACTTGGCACAGCTTTTCGTCTCATTAAACAATGTATAATTGCCTTACAATATCTACATGATGCTGGTTTCCTACATCGTGATGTAAAACCAGCAAATTTTGCTATACAACACGGTAAACCAAAAGATAATTCACATCGAGTCCAAGTGACTCTGCTGGATTTTGGTCTTGCCAGACAATATACAACCAATGGACCAGGTAGTGATGTACGCAACGCACGACAAATTGTCGGATTTCGTGGCACCGTCCGATATGCATCAATCAATGCTCATGCACATCAAGAATTAGCTAGACGAGATGATCTCTGGTCACTTGTTTATATGTTTATTGAATTCGTCTGTGGTCGTCTACCATGGAAACGTATACGTGACAAAGAATTAGTTGGACAAATGAAAATAGCTTTAAATCATAAAGAATTAGCTATTAAATCTGGTCTACCAATGAATATAGTTAGTGTATGGATTACACATTTAGAACAATTAGAATATAAAACTATGCCTAATTATGAATTACTTATCACATGTCTAGATGAATGGTTAATACAACATCACATAGATGAATCAAATCTTTATGATTGGGAAAATCCATTGCCCGGTAGTTCACTTGTCAATGATACAAACAGTCACCAACAACATCAACAACAACAACCTGGTACAATTACACTTTATAAACCTGATCAAAAACCACTCTTCTCAGAACAATTTAACCATAAAGAAGTTAGAACACCGCAACATTCAATGAATCAAATGAATGTAGACGAAAATATTGTTGAACAACTACAACAACAACAGAATCAACTGAAAGAAGGCGACCATGAAGTGGAGGATGAAGAGTATGTTCATAATAAAATGAATGAAACACTCAAACCGAATACACTTTTACAAATTGTGCGCGATAATCAATTGTTGAAATTGAAACAATCTACAATTAATTTAAACAATCGACATTCAACTAGTCAATGTAATTTAATAACAAATAGTCGTTCAACTGTTGTCGAAATTGGTAAAAAGTTTTATGATAATAAATTATTGAAACAAAAGAATTTATTGAAAAATTATGGTAGTCTAGGCGTTGATTTATCAAGTCATGATGGTGATATGGAAAATGCCATAATTGTTGAAGAAGGAGGTGACGACTATTCACGAAGTCGACATCATCATCATCATCATAATCATAATAAATTATCCACTGTACACAATAGTGCTGACTGTATTCTCATCGACGATGATCAGGAGGATGATGTGAAAGCAGTGACAGAGATGGATCTTCTACCTGTGAACACCGTCAATGATGATGATGATGATGGCCATAAACATGCATTAAGAATGCCTCATAATCAACTAACTAATTCTAATGTCATCAAGAATTCCGTTGATCATTTTGAAGAAAATCTAACTGAGAATGATGAGAAAAATGTGGAGATTTTACCCAACAAATCTGAGTCATCATGCATAAACGGGACCAATACGCAGAATAGTGATAGAAATGTCAATGATATCAAAATGATGGATACAGTGAAAGAATGTTTAAAAGTTATTTGTAAGTTTGTGTTGCCTTTCCTATGAAGAATAAGCTTTGCAAGTGAAATGAACAAACGCTTGTTTTTTTATTTATTTACGTTATGTAAATTGGATGTTTGATTCTTTGACTGGGTGTCACAACAGACAGTACAGTTCATCTGTGAGACAAGTGATAACCACAGTTGATACTACATGAACGGATACTGAAAGAGTAACAGTGATAAGGCATGAACTAGTTTTATAACATAATTACGTCGAATGAATCAAAGAAATACATACATTGACCCGTTGATTTGTCCAGAAGATTTGAATGTTTTCACTTATGTACAACAATAGTTGTACAGTATGTTTCCTTACCTATTCAGCTATCTGCATAGGCTTGCCTCAAAAAACACCGACTTGCCTTAACGAGCGATGTTTTGTCGTGTAGAGGTAGGCCAGAAGGAAACTAGGAGCGGCCGTAACAAAACATGTCACAAATCTATGCAGTCATTGACAAGTGAACTGAACCATATAATTAGATGTAGAATACCGGATTGGGATCCACGAGATGATAGTAACTGATGGTTAGAGACTTTGAATGACATGACTCAAAATCATTCAGAATGGCGCAGGTATACAACCCATTCTTTGTCTACTCTAAAATTCAAATCTTCTAAATTCCTCATCACCATTATCTTTCTGTTCTTTTAAAGTTTATTTCACTTTGAATCATATCGTCGAACCTTTTAATCTCTTCGATCACTGTTAATACTTCTACGTACATGCATACTAACGTATGAAGTTCTACTAACAACCATCCAGCCATCTTCATAAACATTGAGTATTTTCAAGAAATTATCGTCAATTATCAACAGAAATTTAAATGAGAAATTCAAACAAAACGTTAAAATTCTATTTTGTTTTAATTCACAAAATTTTTTTATTAATGAAACCCGCACATTGTAAACATTTCTTTTTTTTCTGAGAAAAATAAAAATTGCAACTTATCCAACTGTGTTTAGAGGCAGTTAGTGAGTTAGTGAGTTAGTTAGTTAGTTAGTTCATTTGGTGAGAATAACTTTAACTCATTATTGACCCCTGAGTTTGATTTTATATATCATTACTTTTGGATAAGGTTTCTTTTTTTGACTAACTAAACTGTTAATGCTAATTTCTGAAATTTTCAAACTTCTGTAAGATTACCCAAAATAATTACTGACTCTGTTCTAAATCATTCAGGTCAAAGAGGTCAATTCAACATAAGTTTTTTGTAAATTTTCAATAGACTAAACAAACTCAGCACCAGCATGGATGATTATTTCGAAAAGAAATTTATCTAAATATATATTTTATATTTATATTTATGATCTAAACAAGTCTGAAATTGAAATGAATTTCAGATTAATTTTATTCATATCATCTAACTGGATGCTCCCCAGGCAGGCTATGGAGGTTATTAATTTTTTTCAAATAAAGTGCATACTTTCAGATGTACACCTTTTTTTCTTGAGGTAATAACGCCTTGACTCAGCAGCAGTCAATGTTTAAAAGACTAGTAGTTCATAAGTTACACGCTGTTGGAGGTCAAGCTTACTACTACGTGTTCAAATTGATAATAATCGGTTTGTAATCATTTTCATCATTCTCAGGTTACAAATTTATCTCATTGAATTTTACTTTTCTAATCATATCTTCGACTACGAGAAAGCATTCGATAACGTGGATAGGAAAACACTGTGGAGGCTTCTTCGACACTACAGTGTGCCTGAGAAAATAGTTAACATCATACGGAATTCTTATGATGGATTCAACTGCAAGATCGTACACGAAGAACAGCTGACAGACCCGTTCGAGGTGAAGACCGGTGTCAGGCAAGGTTGCTTACTCTCACCCTTTCTCTTTCTCCTGGTGATCGACTGGATTATGAAAACGTCGACATCTGGAGGGAAGTACGGTATCAACTGGACAGTTAGGACGCAGCTGGACGATCTGGACTTCGCAGATGACCTGGTTCTTCTATCGCACACTCAACAACAAATGCAAGTGAAGACGACCAGTGTAGCAGCAGCCTCTGCAGCAGTAGGTCTCAACATACATAAAGGAAAAAGCAAAATTCTCCGATACAACACAATATGCACCAACCAAATCACTCTTGATGGAGATGCCTTGGAGGACGTTAACACGTTTACATATCCTGTCAGCATCATCGAAAATCAAGGTGGATCCGATGCAGATGTGAGGGCACGGATTGGCAAAGCAAGGGCTGCATTACTATGATTGAAAGATATCTGGAACTACAAACAACTTTCAACCAAAACCAAAATCAGGATTTTCAATACAAATGTCAAGACAGTTCTACTGGATGGAGCGGAAACTTGGAGAACTACGAAAGCCATCATTCAGAAGATACAAGTGTTTATTAACAGTTGTCTACGCAAAATACTTCGGATTCGTTGTCCAGACATGATCAGCAACAACCTACTGTGGGAGAGAACAAACCAGATTCTAGTGGAGGAGGAAATTAGGAGGAAGCAGTGGAAGTGGATAAGACACACACTTCGGAAAGCACCTAACGGCGTCACGAGACTTGTTATATAACTTTTACTTGAATGATGAAACAAGTAGATAAAATAATGTTGGGCATTGTTATCAAACGCTGGACCTTCGGTCTTGTGCGTGAACGCTTAATGTCTGCACCAATGAGCCAGTATCCAACGATGTTCATCCCTATCTTCGGCCAATCCGCAGTCTTGAGCAACCCTATCTACTGTCTTCGGTAAGCACCGCTTCACACCCGAACAGAGTTGAACTCCACTGGTCACAGATTCTCACTAGAATTCGGAGAAACCTTTTCCTCCTCCTCATTAGTGAGTACATAAAAATTCGCATTGTAGGGTTGTGGAGATGGTACGGTTACTTCGGATTCACTAGACAACCATTTTGTCGGGATATGGGACTCATAGGCAGTGCGCATCCACGAACCCTGCTACTCCCAGGATTCCAGTCTTGGATGAACTGAATAAATCGTATATTGGATTTTACTGAAATGAACATTATTGCTAATTTTTTTTAAGTAATATTTAATAGAAACCCGGTACAACTGAAAAACTTCTAAGCATTACTCGCTGTGACAGGTCATAGTTGAAACTGGCCTTAGGACACAGAGTTTATAAGGTAATTTTAGTTTTCTAGACTGTTCACAAGATCCCAGTGATAGTGATTGCTAATGACAATGGATTGTTTTTACTTGAAATATGATTTATTTTCAAGTGTCTTGCTAAAGTTTAATACACTTTTTTCAGAGAACAGAGCTGATTGAAGAAGTTTCCAGTGTATAATAATCTCACGAGAATCAGCAGTGCTTACATGTTAGATTTAAAAAGTAACGTGTAGATCGATCAGTTTGATTTATAGTTTTTCTTGATTACGGAATTATATCACTCAGCCGGAAATCCAGGAAGTCGAATCACAGAATATCAACTCATCGATCTAAAGGCTCTCACGAAATTCAATGGTCAGTTTGATTTTTATGACTATCTGACACTTAGACAATACAGCTGCTTTCTGACTCCATTACTTTTCTGGTGACACCTCAGATGATTTCATCATCCTTGTAAAGAATCACTGATATATCTTTGAAAACCTTTAAAGTATTAAATGTCATGTTGTTTCACTCTTGAATGTCTATTTAAATTATGGTTTGAAATTTTATCAAGATTTCAAAATTGAACTACTTGAAGGCCTGTAATCATTTACATATTCAACAAACAGTTTTTAATTTTTAGAAGAGATTTTTAGCAATGACTTGAGTTAACAGTGAAATAAATTATCAAATATTCCTTTACCCTTCATTCATTCCAATATAGATGCAAAACCAATTCCGAATGGACAAGATCAAGTTTCGAGTAAAGAAACTATAGGATCGATGAAAGATCCAAGCATTTCAAGAACAAATCACAATATGAAAGAGGCAAATCAAAGCAGTCAAGACAACAAATCGGATGTCGATGGACAAAGTTTGTATATGCCATCGGTAAACGCAATGAACTCATCTACCCTACCGCCAACTAGTGATTGTGGTCGAACAAATCCTAGAGAGAAAATACATGCTATCATTCAAAATCTACTAGCTCGTCGTCAAAGTGAAGAGAATGTTACATCGAAATTAAGCGATGGAGCAACTTCTCGACGATCACCTAATTGGTCCGAATCTATAAATAATACACGTAAATTTAGTGAAATAAACTCGTCGAATTTAGATTTACGAGTAGAAGATAGTGATGTTGATAAGTTGATTTGTCAATCAGATCGTCAATTATTTGATCAAACTTCCCCATACTATATTCATTTCGCTTTAGGTAATAACACTACCGATGATAATGAACAATATCATAGATTTCTAAGGGTACCTCGTAAAGATCACCTCAGTTTGAGTACACTACGTCTTAATCGTACTAGGAAATCCGTTTCATTTGATCGATCCAATCCAACTTTTGAATGCAATTTCATGCCAGATAACAAACATGATATGACAACTAGTTCCGATCAAATTTTAAACGATCACCTAGAAAATACAAGTAGAAGACAGAATTTCAATTCACAATCAAACAACCAATATCCAGTTCCACGAACAAAACGTACACTTTATCTAAATACACATTATTCAGACCAGTCGATAAGACAACCAACACAAAATCTTTCCATCAAATCAATCAATATTCCACAGAATAAACATGAAAATTTGAAACTATTCACAAAATCATCCTATCAAACGAATCTACCGATTTTTGAATCAACCGCCGAGAATTATCGACAAAAACTCATTGATAACAAACATAAACAATGTCAACAGAAAATTATGAATTCAACCAAATTACTCGGACCAACTATACGTCCTGTATTAGAAAAATGCAAAACTATTCATCAGAATCTTGGACGTACTAACAATCTTAGTAGCCATAACAATGGTATCAATAATCTGAAGAGAAGTGAAAGTCTAGAGAAATTTAAAAAGTTCAATTCGTTAGCTAAGACATCGAATACACAACAGCTGAAGGCTAATAATAAAGCTGAGATTGTTTTATCTGATGAAAATTATGAACGTTCAGAGTATCATCAACAAACATTTTTGAGGCCAAATATCACAACTACTAGCTCAACAATAAATCAACTTTTAAAAAGTCAAGTAAGTTTATGATATGGTTAGAATATTTTCAATAGTTATATCATGTATTAATCAATATATTTTGTATAATTCAACGTCTGCCATAGGAATTTTTATGATCAAATGTGAGAAAGTAGACGCTGAATAGAGAAAACGCCTTTCTGTTATGCTGGTCACTTGATATGCTTGAATGCTATTACAAGTTCATCGTAGTCGATAAATGAGAACGAGACAACGAACCAGTGACACTTTATGCTAATTTGATAGATTACCCCAAAGGAACTAACGAAGAAGTGTATTCTACAAACACCCAGCCAACACAATGATCTCAAGCACACGAATCGCGTTTATTTATACACCATAGAAACGTCATTGGAAGAGTTTTAAACGTAGCACACAGCCAAGGCTTTTCCTGGTGGGAAATGTGATTTCAAGGTCAACTGATCAGCCCATGAATAAAATCCAAAATTAAAACATTTACCAAGCGAGTTCTGGGGATCTAACGTCCCCAACACTTTCTGTTTAGCGAAAACTATTGAGCTTTCTGATACTAAGTAGTATATATTGACTTTCATCAGAAAATTGTCACGTTAACTATCAACAATTACCGACATGGCTAACTCTACTCGTCAATGACTTCATGGATTTCTGCCATGTTTAGGTTTGGCCGCCCCTAGATTTCTTCCAACCTATTCCTACACTACAAAACAAAGCTCGTCGAGGCAGTCGGTAGTGAGGCATACGTAACACATGTCCTAACCACCTTAACTGATGAAGTTTCAACACGTCATCAATTGATCTGCCATCCTTACCTAGCACCCGTTTCCTAACAACAGCATTGCTTATTCGGCTATCTACGGCTATACACGAGCAATTCTTCGGATACACCTATGATCGAAGACTAGTAACCTACGAATGTCCTTTATTCTTAACAGCCATCTTTCCTATCCGTAAAGTAGGACGGAGCGAACTGCTGCACAGTACACTCGTCCTTTGGTTAACAAGCGGATATCTCGCCTGCACCATATGTGACGCAGGTTGGCAAAAGCCAATCGACCCTTCTGTATCTGAGCTGAGATTTCGTCAGTCACCAGGCCATCGGCACTGATGAGACTCCCCAGATAAGTGAAGCGGTCAACACGCTCGACTACTAGTAAAATCTAGTAAAACAATAAACATGGTTTTATCAGTGACTCGTTCAATATTCTACCTGTGAAATTGTAATGACAGTAAGAAACTAAATAATATATATATCAGAATTCGAAACGAAATTGGCATCCATTCATCAAGACCAAAAATTCACTTGACTTTTAAACATAGTCTAGCATAAATATTTGCAAAACTTTCTGTTCATAATCATCATAGCGTTTATTCAATCTTTCACACACATCCAAGTGTTTTGTTCTTAATTTTTTAGTGTCTAGTGAAAACTAACTCGGAAATTTCCAATGATTCAGAGATTAAAAAACTCCACACACAACATGATGATAACCGATCTAAGCGAATGATTGGAAAAGATTCGATGATTACTGCCAACCAATCAACTGCACAACCAATTCGACATAATTATTCACGATCAACTTTAAAATCATCGAATCTTTATTCTGCAGAAAAATTATTACGTGGACGAAATGATGATGAAGGTGATGATATGAAAGAGAAACAAACAAGTCACTTAGTTGTTAACTATGCTTATTCCCCATTGAAATCAACTTCTGGCGGCTGTTTATTAGGATCAACATCACCAACAACAAATTTAACTGATGAACGTTCTATTCTGTCAAAATCAATTCATTATCGACAATCAACAGAAACATCCGCATCACCATCATCATCATCATCATCACGCCATCGTCGACGTCGTTTGAATTCAATTCATGTTGTACCTTCGGAATTATATCATTATCAACAACGTAATCCACAATTTCCTCTTTCTATGTTTGATAATAACAATACTACTACTAATAATAATAATTCTACTAGTACACCGTCACATATTTCTAAAGTGAATTTACGCACATTAAGATCTCAATCAGCTGATAGAGTGTTAAAATCACGAACAGCTTGTTGTACCACCACAAGCACATCGTCGTTTCAAACAGCTTATTTGTTACAGTCAACTTTATCCAATCATTCTTCTTCATTGTCACGTTCAAAATCAAAACCAACTTCCAGGGTTACGATGAATGATTTTCAAAAAACTTATAAATTGAATTCGTTAACATCTACAAAAAAGTTTTGAAACAGTCTGTGTGTAAGTGTGTGCGTGTGTGAGGTATCAAATGTGTGCTATTTGTACACAAGTCTTCCAGTGACAGACAATATTTCCCTTTGTTTATACTACTTGATACATATCAATCCTTTTCTTTCATTGAAATCACAGACTATTTCATTATATTGTGTTTCATGTACGTGTTGGAACGTTTTTCTTCGGCTACACTAATTAGATTTGCTTGTTTGATTTATGCTCACCTCTTCGTCCCACCAATGTGGATGGAATACCTTTGTGGTAGCAACTTGTATCACAACTTTGAAAGAGACATTAACCGATCAACCGTGTGTCTGTGTCCATCCACCCGAGATATTGATGCTTCTTTGATGAAGAGGACGCAGGTTTGGTGTCATAGTTTAATTTTTTTCTATCCCTTTTTCCCTTAAACCACCTAAAATCTATCCTTTACATATCATCATGATGTTACAGAGGAAATGTTGTGTTTCTCATTTCGGTGAAGTCAACTTCAATCATAAAACATATTTAATTCATTGCGAAAATAGACCAATTTGTATAATAAAAAAATGCATTACATTATCATAAGTGTAGGTTACTATGAGAAACATATTCATATAAATATATAGATATATAGATATATATCTCCATGTGCACGTACACAGGATTGTAAATAGTAATATATTTTGGAGACAAAAAAATATGTCAACAAATATCAAATTCAGATAAATTTATTAATGATATAATTATAATATGTTCAGATTATTTCTCTCTCTCTCCCTATCTATCTATCTCTATCTCTGTCTCTTTCTATCAATTCCAAGATTTGTTTAAATTAATGAACATTGAATTCAATGGTCTCAATAATCCATAATCCGTCTTTTAGGTTTAGCAGTCAGTCAGTCATTATTATTTTCTATTGGTTAAATTTATGCCATCGTCAACATCATTTCACATGAATGATGTTCGTTGAAAATAATTTCAATCGTCATAAGTTTTTGTTTATTCGTTTCAGACAATATAACGTTACCATGGTAGCGTATACATGTAGTCAATATAAATATTGGTTAATTTGATTGGTTTGCTTTCTTTTTGAGGCATCGTCTATTTCTTTTCTCATGTTGTTTTATTTTTTGTTTGTTAAACGTACATATCATCATCATTATCATCATCGAAACATTGAATAATGATTCTTGGAATTTGTTTTTCTATACTCTGATATTCTACTTTCAAAATTGGTTTTGTTTGTGTCTGTGAGTGTGTGTGTGTGAAAAGTATCTTGATTTTAGAGTAGATCGAAGAAGAGATTTCCATTATTATTATTATTCTTCAAACAGATTTTGTTTTTCACGCGCTTTTTTCACCATTTTGTTTTTAAACATTGAACATATAACCAACTATAAACCATAACCCTGTGATGAATTATAATTTATTGAATAAAACAAATTTGATTTTTGGATTAAAAAAAGAAATACGTGAATTTTATATCATAATAATAACTCTTCTGTTCAATCAATGTTGGTTTGTTCAAATGTCAATCTATAGTAGCTTTTTGGCTTGATATTATTTAATAAATCAGTCATTCTAATTATTTTCTATAGATTTCTTGTGTATATATATAAATAAAAGTTGTGTTATTTATTCATTTAAGTACTTCAAAGAAATCCAGTGAGTATCATTTGTAACTTTAAACAATCCATACATACATATCCATTGATTTGACAGCGGACATTGAACACTGAACAGCATTGTTTTCACGATTGAATGATAAAAAATAAAATCTTCTATCTCTGACATTGTGATTCATTTTTTTTTCTGGTTGTTTTTTTACATTTTAACTTTTCAATTCTTACTGTTTTTCACTTTCTTTTTTTAAAAAATAAACAAATACTACTCACAATTTGAAATCAGTATTTTATCGACTATTAACAAACATTAATATATAAATGTGTTTTTTATTAATAAATGCAAAATGAATTAAAATATATATATAATGGAGATATTTGTTTTGTTCAGTGTTAAAGGGTTACAGGGATAAACGTCTGCCTAGTTTAAAAAGCATCACAATACACTTCTGAAGTCAGTCAGTCAGTTATTAAGTAGAACTTAGTACGTACGTACATCAGTGTTCAACTCGCCTTATCACATTATTAGCATAGAGACACAGTTGTCAATTCAAATCTCATAGTAGATAGAGGTCGTGTAGAAGATTTGTAGCCCAGGTGGATGATTGTGGTGGTGGTGTTTGGTTCTCTGAGCTATAGATGTTTCGGTTGTGGAGATTTCGTTGTTCTTCTGAGCAACATCATCAGCACAACAGTCATTCTCATGAGCTACAAAATTTTCTCCACCACCTTATAATTCACGTGTTTTAAGATTTGAGTTATTTATTGGGCGTTACATGTATAAATTCTGTTTTTGTTAAGTCAATTATGAATTATAGTATCTGTTACAGACCTTTTTTGTTTTAAGACATAAGTCACTGTCGAGGCTTTTAAAAGGAATCTCGTCTAATTCCACGGAGATAATAGATGCTTAACTCATAGAAATCTGTATGTTATCCTGTTGTGGATGTTAGATCCCGAGAACTCGCTTGATAAATGCCTTATTTTGGGTTTCGTGTTTGCCAGCATGGGCTGATCAGTTGACCTTGAGATTTCATTTCCCACCAGGAAAATCCATGGCTGTGATTGGCTGCTGTGTTATTTTAGTGTGCTATTTTCGTAACTGTCCCAAGGACGTTTCTATGGTGTAGAAATAAACGAGAGTTGTGTGCTTGATTGTATTTTAGTGTGATTGCTGGATGTTTGTAGAATAAACTTTCTACGCTTACAAAGTCTTTTGTCTTCAGCTTGGGATTCAAGGTAGCCTTTGTGGACTCTAGTAATTGTCTCGTTCGCGTTTATTGACTAAGATAAACTCGTAATAGCTTCAAACGTACATAGTGTCGAATATACCAGATCGATAGAAGAGTACTGTATTCAGCACAGATTGAAGCTTCATTCGTTCTTTGTAGAGTTATCTCGATTGCTGATCATTACTGAAATCATGAATCAGTCATTATTGTTAGTGCACCATTAGTAACCTGGAAACACTGGAAGTATGAGACTAAGCATCAGCAGTGCACCTCCACGACTCCTGCTACTCACGGGATTTAAACCTAGGACCTTCGGTCTTGCGCACAATCGCCTAACCTTTAAACTACTAAGCTATCCCGCACCTAGCACCACATTATCATAAGTGTAGGTTACTATGAGAAACATATTCATATACATATATTTAGATATATAGATATATATCTCCATGTGCACGTACACAGGATTGTAAATAGTAATATATTTTGGAGACAAAAAAATATGTCAACAAATATCAAATTCAGATAAATTTATTAATGATATAATTATAATATGTTCAGATTATTTCTCTCTCTCTCCCTATCTATCTCTCTCTATCTCTGTCTCTTTCTATCAATTCCAAGATTTGTTTAAATAAATGAACACTGAATTCAATGGTCTCAATAATCCATAATCTGTCTTTTAGGTTTAACAGTCAGTCAGTCATCTGACTGACTGTTTGGCATACTAATCCAAGTACATTGAAAAGGTGGCTTCTAATTCATTATACTACTCTTTCTTGACTGTTTTGATGCTACAGTTTGAATCTATCAAACAATCCTTATTCAACAATCGTGCTATGTGCAACAGTCTTCATTTATAAGCGTCTAATTACCAATAATTATTATAGCAAATGTTGTATATGACTTACTATCTACCACCCCGTGAGGTATTCGTTTAACTAATTAACATTACAGTAAAGAATTTTCAAGGCGAGATATAAAATCTTGCAATCAACTGTCTTTTATATACAGTTAGGCTTTTTTGATCGTAATTAACTTTCAATAGTCATCATGAATAAACATTTATGACTATGTCTGCTGCAAGGACATTTTTCATTAAAATATGTATTGAATATCGAAATCACAATTCGATCGCTAATTGTTTCACTACAGAACAGTTAATTAAGGAAATTAGTCATCTACTCTGAAGGTTTTTACTGATGAATATTAACAGGATTTACTATCACGATAGGTTGCTGTGACTTTCATATTCATGTATAAACATCTACAACTGAATTACATAATTTTTTAAATAAAATATATCAAGATTATGCATTATGTGTACGATCAGCCTAGACACCATAAGATTCATCCAGGTGTTTTTCCTTTTCGCTGAGTCTACCTACTTGAGCATTAAAGTCACCAGCCATTATTGCTATATCAGAGCGCTTAACTTTTTGAAGAAGTTTGGAGAGGCTTTATGGAAAACTTATCTTTCATGTCATCTGAATTGCAGTCAATGTCAGTGTAGGCAGATAAGACAAAGAGGCAACGGCAAGTGTCCCTACTCTTAAGAGTACGTACCGTCCCGTCTAGTCGGACAGCGCATAAGCGACTACCTAGTGGGATCCAGTCTAAGAGAGCTTGTTCTGCCCTAGGACTTGATACTATACCTACGTCGGCGAGGACGACAGAAGCGGCATCACGGCTTTCGGAAACACGATGCGTAAACCTTGTTGTGTCTCTATCTGCACAAGGTGAAATCAAATTAATGATTTTACTCGAATCTTGTATGCGCGTTTAGGAGACTCAACATACATCGATCGCCCTGGATTCCAGAGTTCTAGCTAATGAAGTCAATTGCCCTATTTGGTATAGGGTCCGAACAATAAAAACTCCTATATGTAATTTAGTGTGGGGTCTCAAGAGACTAGGAATAATGTTTCATGAGCTCATACCGTTTGCTTCATTTGAGTGAGGTGATAAAGATTGAAAAAAACGGTTGGTCAAGGAGATAGGAGAGTTATTAAGAGATGTAGAAAGGATTTGATGGTGACCAATTCGGTCTCGTGTGATTTTACGGGTATGCGGGCGGATATTACTTCCCGCCTGCCCAAACCGTGGCAGGGTTCTGGTTGTAAGAAGGAACATCGGCCTCATGACCTTCTAACTCTCAGAGTAGAGTTTATATGGTTTGAATTATTTTTTTCCTGTTAATGTCTTTAGAGAGTTATTTGTTTTTGCGGGACGGGGTCGCCAACCCCAATCCAAACCTTCCTCCTTTATCCAGGCTTGGGATCGTCACCAGTAGCCCCGAAGGATCTACAGGGGAAGTTAAACAAATATACTTTTTGACTATCTAATATCATTTAGGAACTGCCGAATCAAATTTAGCCTAATTTTTTGTGATAACGAACTAAGTTGTAGCTTCGAGACATAAAATTTATCTTGTGTCAAAATGTTTAATTATCATGAGGATCTCCGTCGTAATTAATAGACAACAAAAAACATTGAATTACGATACGATGAAAAAGTTGTACAGTTTTTATTGTAACCTGATAATTATTTCAATTCTTGAGGAATTACCAAAAACAATAAATCTCAATTTGAACTTGACGATCTAACTGAATGGCAAGTTGTGTATCAGGAAGAAATAACTACACAACTCAATAATTTATCATAATGTTAGTTAATGCAGTAAAATCCATTCATGTAATACAGTTTATACGTATAATTCAATGTAATTTAAAGATAGTTTTAATCATAGGGAGTAATTATTTATGGAATTCTTTTCTACAGTCAATAAATCCTCGTTCGCAGTCCTACCTACTTACTTATACATATCTAGGCAACATCATTCATGTGCAAGTAGGATTTGATGCAGATGTGAATGCATGGGTTGGCAGATCAAAGACAGCATTTCTTAAAATTGAGCAACGTCTGGAACTCATTACAAATATCAGCCTAATACCAAATTTGGAATTTTTAATACAAACATGAAGACGGTTCTGTTGTATGGGGCGGAAACTTGGATAACCATAAATGCCATCATTCGGAAGAAACAAGTATTTATTAACAGATGTCTGCGCAAAACACTTCGAATCCATTAGCCAGACACCATCAGCAACAACCTACTGTGGGAGAGATAAAACCAGATTTCAGAAGAGGAGAAAATCAGAAAGAAGCGCTGAAGGTGGGTAGGACACACATTAGGGAAAGCACTGTACTGCACTACAACACGAGTCCTCACTTGGAATCCTTAAGGCTAACGGAAAAGAGGAAGACCAAGGAACAACTTACACCGAGAAATGGAGAAAGACATGAGAAGAATGAACAACAACTAGACAGAACTAGAAAGCAAGGTCCGGAACAGAGTAGGTTGGAGAATGCTGGTCATCAGCCTATGCTTCATTGTGGTTAGTAGGTGTATGTTAGTAAGTAAGTGAGTAATTTTATACACATAATTCAGTATACTTTCGACATAGCGTCAGTCATTGGGCGTAATTATTCATGAAATTATTTTATACTGTCAATAATACCTCATTTACAGTTTAACCTTTTTCCATTCTTCAAAATATATCAATCTTTATTCATTTATACTGAGAAGCTAATAATAATACCAATTGTCTTCATAAAAAATATAACGAAATTCTATTATTATTCTGACAACGCCATATGATTGATTTCTTTTCAAGTACCATGTCGTGTTTAGGCAGTAACTATTAACAAAGACAAATTGGTGGGGTCGGGCAAAATCCCGAGATCAATCAGAGTTAGACATTAACACCGTTGGATGCCCGCTCAGTGGTCCAATGGTTAGGCATTCGCGCACAGTACCGACGGTCTCGGGTCCGAACCCTGCGGGGTGCAAGAGTCGTGGATGCTCACTGCTGGTGTGCCCCATACCAGGACGAAACGGCTGTCCAGTGCTTCCAGTGGTCTAACAATGATTGACTGATGATCTAAAATGTGTAAAACAACACACACCTCCAAATCTCTGCCCGAAAAAACTAAGAGCAAATGAAAGAAATTTCGCGTATAAACAAAGTTCATTGTTCAAATGTTTGTTTGTTTGTTCTTTTTTCATTTCAAATTCAATCGTCATTTTAAATGAATTCTCAATTTTATATATAGAGATTAAATGAAACTGTGTTGTATAGCTTTGCATGCATGACAAACCCTCCTTAATTGCCAATTTCATTTGCCAATTAATTCGATCTCTTTTGTTTATTTCAAATAGAAAATGAGAAATTGTTTTTTTCTGTTCAATCACACTTAGATTTTTGAGGCGTATAGACACAATGGAATATTTGAAAAAATATCTCAACGTACTACTTACTCACTAGTTTAATAGAAATGAGCAGCACATGAACGATACATTCATTCTATAATACTAAATATT